TCCCAGGTGCCGGAACGTAAACAGCCCAGGTGAGCTTCCTTTGTTTAAAAAAAAAAAACAAACCCAAAAGCCTTGGAAGGAGGGGCTCTATTGGGAGCCAGACAGCCAATCCAGCATCAGAGTCAAAGATCAACCACTCCAGAAGAAGTTTGGAAAAGCTCCTCTAACTGGACAAAAACTTGAATGGGGCGGGAGTAACTCCGCTGTTAAATTTCCCCTATTCCCTTACCTACACAGATTTTCTCTCTGGGATCCTCTCCCATGACTGTGTGGGAGTCTCTCTCTCTCTCTCTCCTCTCTCTCTCTCTCTCTCTCTCTCTCTCTCTCTCTCTCCTCGCTCTCTCTCTCTCTCTCTCTCTCTCTCTCTCAAGTAACTTGCCCAAAATCTCACAACTGGAAAGCGACTGTCAGGATGTCCACCCAGATAGTCCAGCTCCAGAGTCCATGCTTCTAGCCCCACTACACTATGCAGTTTCTGATTTAATGGGTTGCATCTTTGTCTAATAAAGAGAAAATTTTGCTTTACTTTTGTATGCCTCTTATCTACTATTAAAGCCAACTTTTCTCTATCAGGGAAAACAGATAAAAGATTTACCCTACTGGGTAAATCAGTTATTATCCTATTTACCCTCTTGAATATTCATCCTATTTACCCCACTGTGTAAATCAAATATTGTTCACAATTTGTGTTTCTGGCCCACCATTAACAACACACGTGTTGACAAGAAATATTCTAGACCAACCCTCTCATGCTTCCTTCGATCCATTCCTTTTGCTAGCCCATAGACGTAATCAGATCCCCTTTCCTTTCCAAAAATCAGCTTCTTACCATTCTCAAGCACTTCTCCCCTACTGCTCAGTGAGGTTTAATATCGCATCCCAGAGCAGCCAAGCGTATACAGCCCTAGGGCACTCAACACAGAGGCCCAGGAAGCTTCCCTAGACAAGAACTAGTGTTGATCAGGAAAGTCTCCATGTTCTGTGCTGTTCTGTGATAATCTGCCTGTCTTCCTTTGATCTAACGTTAAAGTGGGCAAACTAAACCCTGGACAATCTGGGAAAGCCAAAAGAGTGATTCCATTCTTTTTCTGTGGTAATAATAATAAAGTTTTCTGTTCTGCAGAGCTGGTGTTTTTACTGAATTTTCTTCCAAAGAATGCTGTGCTTTTAGGATGTTAAAACCCAAAGGCCCCAGGATTTTTTCCTCTTTCAAAAATGGATGGTTCTGCTTTTCATTTAAGGTGCAGTTTAGAAAGAAGCAGCCTGTAAAACCAATTAACTAATTGGAAATCACTTAATGACTGTAGCAGCATTTTGAATTTCCGGCGTTGGTTCACAGCAGTCAAGAGAAATTGCTTTCCAATATTATGATAAGGTAAGCTGTGGAGGTCTCACAGGGGGCGGTTGAAGGCTGCTGAGAGAAACAATCAGCTCTAATATGCCCACCAAAATAATGGAGACATTATAACACGGAACTCAGTGATTGTAAAGTAAGCACAACATAAAAATCCAAAGATATGTGGAGATCTGCTGAGAATAAATGTGCAGCCATAGCTCCTTGCTATGATTTTTTTGAGAGCTTACAATCTTCACATAGACATTATGCTGGGGAAATTGCTCTTCCAGAGACAGCCAGGCATGTGTGGAAAAGGAGGTGACATGAGGAGAAGGAAAAAATAAGAGAGTTCCAGTGCTTACCCTGGAACAACTGTTCAATTAATTGTTTAGTATGAATACAGTCATTGCTCACATTAGGAAAATAATCTAGTTAATTGCTCAAGAGTTGACATAGCCAGAGAAAATAAATTACCCCAAACAAAATATTTTATCCATTCACCCATTCACCATGTGTTTGTCTTAAGGTAGTGAATTCTCTTAGCATATTTCCAAATGTCATAATTCATTAAACCAAAATCATCCCTGTAGAAAACAATATCAGCCATACCTCACTCCTTTTTTACTTTAAAAGAGAGGCATAGGGATATGTATGGGGAAAGGACTTTAAACTTTCTTTGAGGTGGATAGTTGGTCCTTATTTCTCCCAGGCCTCAGAATTCTTTTGTGAGTATGGCAATCTTTTCCCCTCCCTTTGCCTTAGTTACTCAGCTGTAAAATGGACTGACACATGTTAGAAGACGTATGTATTCAAACGATGGTCAAATTTTACAAACACAAAGCTAGAACACTACAAATTCTTCCAGCAATGACAAACTTTCATTTTTTTCCTCCCTATTGGTAGAGTAAGTTTGGGCAACGAAGACTCTCTCTCGGAGATATTTGCTGTTGTTTTCCAACAGAAAGGAAATTCTATACACATGCTTGTCACTCCACTGCCTATATTTGGGCCTTATCTAAAGTCCCCATCTTTATTAATTCAGTAATGATGACCAATGTATTAGATGCCTCCACTGGGTACTGCCTTAGATGCTTTCTTTGTGTTCAGCTTTTACTCACAGGACAAGAGGACAGAAGGTGTACTCTGTTCAAGCAGCAGCATGAAGACCAGTGCCACTCACACAAATTGCTGTGCCAAGCATTAGCCCACGAGACCATGGGACAACGTTAGCCCTTTCTTCTCACCAGCCTCATATAGTAGGTGCTCATTCAAAGCAGGACTCACATTGTAGAGCTACATGCCTGGAAGTCCTTCACACAAGAAAGCACTCAGGGTGAGGTGGGCAACATTAGTGGCAACACACTGATGATTCTTCCTTTAAAAACAATGTTGTGGGCCTGGTGCAGTGGCTCACGCTTGTAATCCCAGCACTTTGGGAGGCCAAGGCAGGTGGATCACAAGGTCAGGAGATCGAGACCATCCTGGCTAACATGGTGAAACCCCATCTCAAAAAACAAAAAAACAATGTTTCATGCTAAGCAAATTTTTACCTGTTTAAATTATTACCTTTCCTAGGACTTAATTTCTCATCTGTATTCCAGAAAGTGACATTCTTCAAACATCCAGATTATATCAAGACAACAAGGTTGATAAACTGATTTTTAGTTACAACAAAGATGATCAATAGGATCCAGGTGCAGTGGCTCACACCTGTAATCCCAGCACTTTGAGAGGCCAAGGCGGAAGGATCAGAAGGTCAGGAGATCAAGACCAACCTGGCCAACATGGTTAAACCCTGTCTCTACTAAAAAACAAAAAACTAGCAGGGCATGATAGTACGTGCCTGTAGTCCAAGCTACTCACAAGGCTGAGGCAGGAGAATTGCTTGAACCCGGGAGGCGGAGGTTGCAGTGAGCTGAGATTGTGCCACTGCACTCCAGCCTGGTGACAGAGCAAGACTCTGTCTCAAAAGAAAAAAAAGCTGATCAATAGGTAAAACAGAACATTAACTCTAATGATACTGCAGAGGAGCAACCACATCAAGAATGTCCCAGATGTGAGCTGGACTACCCCATGAAATAACAAGGATAACATTCCAGTCTTCTTAATAAAAGAAAAAGCTCCAAGCTATCAAAGGAGAAAAACCTGCAAATTAACCTTTCAGACTGATTCAGAACATTTTCCAGGATGATGCACCTGAAGAAAAACATGTGATTCAATTAATAGCGTTTGTCACATTGCAGACTGATCCAAAGGTGAGGCTACACCTACGAAGACAGGCTGAATGCCAGCTAGTGTAGCCTCATTTGCAAAGCTCGGCACTCTGGAGCTTAAATGTCCCTGCTTAACAAATGGGGAGCAATTTAGTCTGTTGCATAAAGACAAAAGCAAGGCCAAAGTCTAACAATAGCTCGCCTCTCGCCGAGTCCTTGAATTAGTAAATGTTATTACGAAAGGAAAATATACTTTTATCTAGGTTGTTACATCTTCCCTCTGCTGTCCTCTGTGGCTTTGCCCATAAGCTTATAGTTTTTAGTTAAATTGGACAATTACTGAGTGAGAAGTGCATAATTAATGAACAGTCACTGTATATGTTTGGAAAACTGTGACCCAATCACTGAGTAGATAACTGAACCACTAAAATAAATGACTTGTTCCACTCATTACCTGATCAGCATTTGTTTAGAAGTTCCTTGGTGCCCTATCAAAATTCTAATCAGTTCTATTTAAATTACATTTTTGGTACTGCATTGTTATAAATGCTAATTTATGCCTAGAATGGAACAGCTTTATTTCTTACCTCCTGAAGAAAAAGATGAATAAAAACATACTTTTACAGGGCATAAAAGATTATCAAGTGTTCGATGACTATTGGATTTTGCACTTGCCAAAACACATCCTGAGACTTCGTGCTGAAGCTCTAGGGGACGACGAGGACATTCAAAGCCTCCCACAGCAAAGCCATCCCCACTTGGAGGCTGAGGACTGTCACAGCAGCATCTGCAATCACCACTGGGATTTTCTGCATTTGGGGACTGGGCAATCTTTGGGGTGATCAAGGGAAAGAAGGGAAAATTCTTACAACTTGAGAATAATGATCCAAAGAATCTTAAAGGCAGATGGTTATTTCAGAATCTCTAGGCAACTTTTATGCACGGAGAGGGATTTCTCCAAGCCTGGTAGCCCATCTGCTTTTGTGATGATGTCCATGTCTACCAGCTTGTAGGCAGTGGCAGATCTCACATGGTAACTCCATATATTTTTTTCACAATTAGTTTGGTCTCCAAACTTAGCACCAAGATGTCACTCTAAGCAACTCAGGCAGTTCCACCCAAGAGAAGACTAAAGCACTGTTTTGCTCTCTCTGTTGTACAAGGCTTGACCACTTGCAGCCTAGAGGTGGCCCAGACAGGCCCTAAGTCATTTGGGATCTAAAGGACGTCAGAAGAAAGAAGATTGAAGCTGGTGTTCCAAAAATAGCTAGAAATCTCCAAAGAGGTCACCAAAGTCCTGTCTTTAAAAGTGCCTCATCCACTATGATGCTCCCTCCCATCCTAGGCTCAGCATCTGTGGAAGTCAGTGAGCCTGCCATTATCCTGCCTGGAGTGGGAGGCATCACATTCAGAATTCATTGCCAGAAGTTTTTCATAAGCTGAGGAATTACCTTGAGAGGATTGAATTTCCAAGCGCAAGTCAGCACCTGCTGGGGAGGCTGGGGCCACCTCAATCATCCTGTACCCGAGAGTCTCTTGCAGCGAGTGGGTGAGGTGAGGTTGGATCAGGCTGGCTTAGGGCCGCTTGGCCAAGGGGCTAGAAAACACAGGTTCACAAAGGCATTTAACCTCGTTTAAGCAGTGCAATGTGGCTGAGGCTTAAATAAGGCTGGAACATTTTCTCGCTTATTATCACCTTGATAACCTTTTCCTGTAGCTAGGAAGGAGTGGCATGAGAAAGCGGGGCACGGGGAGACTTTGAGGGGGGGCACAGCACTGAGCAGGAGGGGAGCAAGCTGCTGTTTTTCCTATTTTCTGAGTGCATTTGGAAAGAGAGGAAGGATGTTTGCTCTCTAAATATTTTTACTTTTAAATAGAAACCGTTTTCCAGACTGCACGGCTAATCACTTCATAGAAAAGGGAAGAAAAGAAGAGCTTTCATTCACTTTCTTTGAAACCTATTCATTACAGTTTGAAAGCAAAATTTCTCTATGAAATACCTAAGTAGTGGCAGCATTTCTGCAAGATCTAAGTCTGGGGGTGAGGGAGCAGAGATGGGAGAAGTAAGCAGAGCCCAGGAACAGCTGTGCTCGCGTCATGGAGGGGAGAAGGAGAACTGATCACCTTCGTCCGTTGAAAGTGGTGGGGGGGGTGGGGAGCAACATGGTCCCCTCCCCACACCTTCCCAAAGAGGCACTAACAGAACACCTGTCTGCCCTGTGGCTGAAACCAATCTTAAAAGAGATCTTTTTAGAGAAATTAAACTTTACAATGATTGTTCCTCAATCTTATTTAAATCAATTATAATAACTGATTCTAATTTGCATAAAAATCTCTCATCGTCCTCTAAAGCTATTTGAACCAAACCCAAATCAAAGCTCTGTGATGGACACAAGTGAGTTTAAAAGCCTCACTGCGGTTCCTACCAGCAGAGGACTGTGATTCTAATACCCATCCACCACTCTCTCCGCCTGAGCATCCTTGATTGGCAATCAAAAGTCCTAGATAGTATTTCTAGGACTATACAAATCTTTGTATAACTTACCTTTGAGTTATAAAATTTCACTGTTCTAATCTGGAAAAGAAAATTAAGTCCCTGGGAGAGCACATGTTGTCTACCAAATGTCCATGGATTGTGAGGCTCAGTCACCACTGTGATTATCCCATTATTATTATTGTCATTGCAGGCATTTCACACTAACTGAGGAGCTACAATTTCCCTGACTCTATCCAGGATAAATGATATACGAGTTTTACAGAATCATACTTACCATCGACTCTGGGCCAATAATTTGGCATTTCATCTCAAAATGTTGCTCACATCAGAAATGTGAGACAAGAGATCAAATGAGAAGACATCCTCCATCTGTGAAGTGATTCGCATTTTTAATATGTCAATTTAGCCTCCATCCATATCAGTTATAAAACTGTGGAATAACCAAATATAGAGTCCTGTGACATCTCACTAGAGGCTTTATTCCAACTTAAAATTGGTAATTAATCAATATTACATATATTTTATAGTTCAATCCTCTTAGCAATTACTTGGAAGACAAAACAGTAATGCTTGTTAAATGTTAAGATGGTACAAATCTGGGAGAAATAGTTAATATTTTAGATTCCACGTGACTCAAAGTTCTTGCCAGGCTGGAGCAATAGGAAAAATTTATATGAGATATCAATCACAAAAATAAACACAACCCTGCACTTAAGTTCAAAATGCCAATTTAGGTACATTATGTTTTGCCAGAAATCATGTGAAAAACCAGAGGGGCTTTCACTGTGTGCTTTAATATCAGGAGAAGCCAATGTGATACAGCTACATAAAATGCTAACAGAATTTTAGATGATAATAACAGACATCTGGTCCAAAACAGGAGAGGTAATGGTTATGTTGTACAGTGGTCAGATATCCCATCGCTAAGAGAGAAAAGGTAACACAATCTCCTTCACCAGCTCTGCAAATTTGAAGACATCATTTGAGCCTTAGTGTTCTCATCTGAAAATGGAAATAATAGCAGCCAACAGAGATATTCTTGTAAAATTGTTGTAAAATCAAATGAGTTAGCCTCAAAAGTGTTTTGAAAATTATAAAGTAGCATTGCACCAGACATCTGCTATTTGTCACTCAACAATCACCTTCCTCTTTTTGGCAATTTCAATTCAGCCCTCTTTTGGGGAACCTCTCCTCCATCATTCTTACCACATGATGGGCCCAACTTGGCTGAGGCTGCAGAGATTGGTTTAGGAATGGCCACATGACCCAGTCAGAGCCAAGGAGACATGAGGAGACTATGTGAGGGCTTTTGAGAACAAAGAGCTCTTGCTCCTTAACTGCATTTTGTCAGATCAAGAGGTGAGTCTTACAATATCATCCTGCTACCCAGGAAGAAGTCAGCCTAAAGATGAAGCTTAACCAACAGAAGTGGGGAGAAAAGGCAGAAATGAAAAAGACAGAGAAATAAGCCCTGACAATCTCATTTGATATTCTGGATCAGACCCTCTCAGCCAAAGCCAGTATTCCCTTGCACTGTTCTATATTCCAAGCCCATATATTACTTTTTTTGTCAGTTTGAGCAGGGTTTTTATGTCCCTTGCAACAGAAAGAGTCCTACAATTGTGTATTTATTCTTATGTCTTGGAAAATCCAGTTATTTAAATATATGGAAATAATACATGAGAGAGTTTTCAAGTAGAAAATACAGACTCCACAAAAATCAACTTGCTTACATTGTGTTAGATTATCATAATTCTGTTAGATTGTTACGGTGACTGTCTTTACTAATACAAGCAACATTTCATTATTGACTATGTCTTGGATTCTAAGACCTACATAAGAATTTATGTAACAACTTTGTTCTAAAAAGAATTTTTTTTAGCATTCTGCCTCTGAGAAATCCATGTTTCCAGCCTACCCCATCTTGTCTTCCTTGTCTTCCTGCTGAGCTAATAGCCAGATCTCCAACTAAAACAGCAGTGCCCATCTCTGATTAATGGGATCTTTCTCCCCACCTTTTTTAATGGCTTTCTCCCATTGTGATTTCAATCAGAACATCACTGGGAATCCCTCCTGGTGCCTCTCCAGGATCACTGCTATTGCCATTTCTTATAGACTCCTCCTTAAGAAGAGAAAAGCCAAAGAAATGTCCCCATACTCCAAAGCTGGAATCAACGTGGAATGTGTAAAATAAATTATAGCATATTCCAGCCAAAAAGGCCTAGAGACATCAACACCTGCTCAACAATGGGCTAAACCCAGCCCACTTGATTTTTATTTTCAATTGCTTTATACATAAAGTTTTATTTGAACACAGCCATGCCTGTTTGTTACATATATTTGTCTGCCTTTATGCTATAATAGCAAAGTTGAATGGTTGTGACAGAGACCATATGGCCTGCAAAACCTAAAATATTTACTCTCTGGGGCCCTTTGCCAAAAAAGTTTGCTAACCTCTAATCAAGTCCAATCACCTAGTTCTTAAAAAGAAGCTTAGGCCCAGAAAGACGAGCTAATCATACACAAAAGACCAAATCCAAGTTTGTTTCACACGATAGTATTTTCATGTTCTATTCCTGTCTACTAGATTAGAAGTGTCTTGCAGGCAGAGATTGTGCCTCATGTTTCTGTGATGTCCCAAACCATAGAGGCTGAATACTGAAGTGTCCATTAAAACTAGTTAGATAAATGCAAAGGTATTGAGGAGATAATGAATTTATTCAGAGACGTCTATGTAAACCATCTCCCCTCCTGCCTCCACAGCCTCCAATATTTGTAGCCACAAACCAGTGATTCTCCATGGGATATCAAGTCACTATGTGTGACATCATCTATAAAATGGCATGAAAGTATCCACCTCACAGAATGGTGAGGCTCAGATGAGATAAAGTGTGGAAGGCACATAGGACAGAGCCTGGCACATGTCAAACACTCAAAGAGTAGTAGGTTACTGTGATGACTATCATAAAAAAGGAGGCACCCTGAGACATAACTGGGTCTTACAGGGAACATGTATTTTGCTCCTATTACTGTACTGCGGACTTCTCCCAGATACCTCCATGAGCAATGGGGGAATATATATAAAGGTGGGCTCCAACACTTCATTTCTGCAAACAATTGAATCCATGTTCAATTGCTGTTACACAACGAAGTTTGAGCGCAAGTGACAGAAACACGATTCTCCCTGATCCCAACAGCACCTGTCGTACTAGAAGGAGAGAAAAAGATTCTTCCCCTGGAGCTAAGGCATTACAAACGTCAATACCTAATAAAGTAAGGAAAAACGTAGCATTGTGTCAAATAGCGTGTGTACAGCATGAATCTAACAGTGACCAAGGACATCTGTCCTGATTCTCTCTACCATGAAAATAGTCCCACCCGATACCAGGGGCTTTCCTCTGGCCATATCAGCCCTTGTCTATTCTGACTAAACCTTCTTTAGATTTTCTGGCCGTAACTTTCTCAACTAATAGGAATGTATCATCATTGCTCAACAGCATACCGCATTTACTGCATGAAACTTTTGGCTATGGGCAAAATATTTTCACCAGCCGGCCCATCCTCTTGCCAAAGAATTATGCTTATAAAACTATGTTGCATTTTGATAGACCCCAATATGGAAATAAGAAGGGAATAATAAACCTATAATCCCAGTCAAATAGAAACAGCCAAGCACTCATCCTCCACTCCACCTCTCTTCCTGGTCTAAGGTGGTACCTCGAAATGACCCTTTTCTCTGTTGTTTTTGTTTTGGGACAGAGTCTTACTCTCTTGCCCAGGCTGGAGTGCAGTAGCACGATCATAGCTCACTGCAGCCTCAAACTCCCAGGCCCATGAATTCCCCCCTGCCTCAGTCTCCTGAGCAGCTGGAACTATATGCCTGTGTCACCACACCTGGGTAAGTTTTTGATTTTTTTGGTAAAGAAAGCATCTCCCTATGTTGCCCAGGTTGCAATACCCGTTTAAATAAATATCCCTTTAGAACCTAACAAGAACATATAGAACAAAATCATCTACCCTCTCCTCTACCCAACTCCTTCTTTTGATGCTAATCACAGGGAGTAAACATTTTTCCAGAATCACTTAGCCCATATCAGGAATCAAACCCTACATGCAGTCCTCTGTGATGTGCTAAACTCATCTGCTTAGGTCCTGGCAGCCAGAAAAGATGACTGGGGGCTAAAAACTAGTAAACCCCCCCATTAGGAGGGCCTTTCCCACCCAGGCCCCCATTCCTACTGCCACCATCTGTATTTGTTCTTCTGCTACATAAGAACTCAAACTGGGTGGTGGGCCTGTTATTTTTAAAAGTCTTTCAGTAGCGTCTATACCCAGAACTGCCTCATCACAATTATCCTCACCAAACGAGGAAACTTCACATTGAGAATGGATATGGTTTTCAGCCAGCACCAAATGTCTCTCCTTCTGCCTTTTTGTCTTTCCGATCAATCAGAACATGTGAAACTCCCAAATGAAGAGTAAACACACAGCCCAGGTTCCTTTCATCTCCTAACATATGTCATGAAGGGGGAGGGAAAAACTCTATTCCCAGCTTCAATCAGCCCTTGGTATTCTGCGAAACTGAAAGGAGGCTGTGTGGCGCTGTGGAGGAGTGCCGAATGTGGGCCGGCTCCTCCGAAGATAATAGGTATTCGCCGCATACCTGAGTCTTGGAGTCATTATCTCTCCTGTGAGCACTTCTGTATTTATATATAATGAGATCATTACTAGGCAGCTATTCCAGTTTTATTCAGACTTTAATATTTCTTAAAGAAAAAAAGTAGCATACAAAAGGGTTTGTGATGCCAACTCAATCAGACGTGCTGTTGATGGAGAATTATTCAAGTGCAAGCCAGAACAGGCAAAAAAATTTTCAGAGAGGTTTCTGTCAAAGCTGAGTTCTCCTGTGACGATGTTTCAAGCGAATGTGCCAAAGTGTCCAGAGGTGAGGAAGGAAAATAACAACGAACAGAAAAGAGGGCTGTGTACAGGATTAAAAACGAGGCACGTCGCAGTCTAACTATTCAGGCAGGTAGGGCGTGTGCCACCTGCCGAGACTCGACTCCCACCCCCGCTTTCAGTGGGTAATTAGACCAGGGAAGCAGCTTTACTTGCCCTGGGCTTCACTAGGAGCAGTCAGGTTTTAGAAATTAACCCTTTGGTGGGTACTAGTGCCTTTTGTGATTGAACTCTGGTGGATAGGCAAGGTAGGCAAAGGCAATTCCTTCCTCCTCTCACAACATGCTTTAAAGAAGGGAGTTTCTGTCTCTTCAGTCTCATTGTATCTTCAGGGTGAAAAAAGAACTACGGAAGAATTTTCTTTCCCTTTGTCCAGAGAACCCCCATTCACAGAAAATGGCTAGAAATTCAGTGCCCCTGCTAATCAAATATTCTGGGAAAGGCTCTATCCATTTTCAGCAAATGAGAAAATCAAATGAAATCAATTGAATACTAAAACAAACAAAAAGGAATCTCTCTTGACAGCACCTCAGGATGATGCCAAGCCTTGGGTGGTGACTGTGAAGGTGGTTCTTCACTGGCCCCCACTTTTAGAAATACACTCTGCTAACATGAGCTCTCTGGATGTTTGTACTTTGGATAATCACAAGCTTACTGATTCATTTCTGGGATCTATGCTTTATCCTGTGATACAAATCCAAGAAGACTATCATTTTAGCTCTTCGCTCCCTGTCCTGAAACTGCAGATGGGAATAAGCAGATGGAGCAGGGATGCAGACTTGTCATCACATAAACATGAAATGAAGGGATCCTGGCTCTTTTCTTATGGTGGTTGTAAAGCACCCATTATTTTTCCCCTAGCACTTCCTAACAGGCAAAACCAAAATAACATTGGAAGGAAATTTACAGAATGCGCATGCTGTCCACTGAGCCCCCAACCCCTACTCAAAATAGCATTGGTAGATTTTTTTATTATTTTTATTATTCTACTTAAAGAGATACCCTGTAATGGTTAGGAGTTAGTTCTGGTAACATTGTTAAGGCTATTTTATAGATCCTAGTCTTAGGATGTACTTGATGTTTAGAAATCAGTTTGGGAAGGAAGAAAAGAAGGGAGAGGAAGGAAAAGAGGGATGGAGGAAGGAAAAAGAGAAAAGGAAGAAAGGCAGGGCAGGCAAGTGCATGGGAGGAGGAGAGAAGAGTGAGAGGATAGAGATCTCGGGCTCTGTAAAGTGTAGCTATCTCTGCTATAATCTGTACTCCGCAGGCAAAGAAGTGCATCAAAATAGTCCTAAAAAACACTTGAACTTAAAGAGATGTAAACATGAAAATGAGAATAATTTTATCTCCTCAATTAAATCCACAATAGCTAACCATAGTAACTATTTTAAGATTAACTCCTTGAAAAGGGGAAGAATGGGCCCGAGTAAGACTTATTAAATGTCTGTCCATTGTTCGATATTGCACTATTGTGTGTTAGCAAGTTTGGGGGTGGGGGATCAGTATGTGTGCATGTGGGGGGAAGTGGGTGAGAGAGAGAGAAAGTGAAATTTCACTGACCATCAACATGGATTCTCCAGGGAGCACAATAATCCAACAGTGCTCCTCCATCTGCCTCCTTTGGGCAAAGAGCACCCTCCACTCTATCAGCCTTTTCATCTACCCTCCCAGCCTTAAAAGAAGAGATCTCTCTTTTTCTCAAAAACCAACTGCCTGTCCAACATTCTCACCCTATCCTCCAATGGTCCTTTCCTTCTGTCATCAAATATGTTGATTTTCCTCCTCCATGGAAGATCCTCCCTAGGCTGCTCTTAGGAGAGATGGATCCCAGCCCCGCTTTTCTGTGGACTGGCCAAGAGACCGGCAAGACTGCATCATTTCCTCTCACACTCACCCTAGTACTGCCTCAAATACTGCTTTGTTCTCATCTCTTCTTTACGAGTGAAATCACCTCACCATTCATTCTCTCTGGACGCATCAGAAATATGGCTTTCATGCTCACCACACCATTATAATTGCTCTTTAGAATCATCAAACGGAACCATTGTGCCAAGCCACATAGTCCATACTAGTTCTTAATCCCTTGGACTTTTTAGCTGTATCTGATGCAGCTAAGGAAACTCTTCTTGCAACCCTGTTTTTCTGAGCTTCATGCTGATCCCCTCATTGCCTGTTCCTCCCTGCCTCTATTTTGTCTGGTCCCACATGCTTGCTATGGGGCACATGGTTTTATTCACAGCCGGGCAGCCAGCTACACATGTGATGGCTTCAGAGATGAAAAAATACATTCTCCAACCCCACATTCCCCGCCCCTACCATGCACAGAGCCCTCCATCACACCAAATAGTTGATTGAAGACACATCCCTTTGAGTGAAAGTACTGTGACTCACAGAATCTTCTATTCAAAAGTAAATAGCTTTCAGAAGCTGTACATTCATCCATCATCTATTCATATGAAATTAATTTAATAGATAATTCATGTTTCCTCAGAAATAAAAAGGTGGCACACTGAGGAAATGGACTCCACTTTGAAGGAATGTCAACTCTATTACCTAGATAGAAAAAAGGCTGAGTATAGTAGCTCAGGCTTACAATCCCAGCACTTTGGGAGGCTAAGGCGGGAGTATCTCCTGAGCCCAGGGCTTCAAGACCAGCCTGGTCAATATAGCAAGACCCTGTCTCTACTGAAAATTTCAAAATTAGCCAGGCATGGTGGCACATACCTGTAGTCCCAGCTACTTGGGAGGCTGACCGGATTGCCTGAGCTGAGGAGTTGGAGGTTGCAGTGAGCTATGATTGTGCCACTGCACTCCAGCCTGGACAACAGAGCTCTGTCTCTTTAAAAGAGAAAAAGAAAAGAAAAGAGGGAAGGGAAGGGGAGGGAAGGGGAGGGGAGGAGAGGGAAGGGGAGCGGAGGGGAGGGGAGTGGAGGGGAGGGGAGGGAAAAGAAGAAAGAAACCATGTTTAAGAAAATGCTGCAAATATATATTTAATACCTATAAAAATACTGTTTACATAATTAAAACAACATAACAAATTCCCATAATTGACAAATGGCAAGGTCATAACCTATTAAATCTCCAGAACTCTCACCAAAGATGACAAATCTGATGCTCCCTTAGAAAGCCAAAGGTCTCTGGGAAGGAGGATTCTGGAAAAGTTAATTAGCAATATCTGTCTATGAAGTTTCTGAAATAACATGATGATTTACTATCAGAAACATGACAGAGAAGTTTCCTATTCTTCTCAATGTTTTAAGCAAAACAGCCCTGTAATCTAAGCAGAAAAAAACTGATCACAGAATTTTGCTGTGAGCCCACAAAGACCTGATTTTTCCCCTAAGTAGTTTTCTCTGCACATGTGCTCTGTGAGGAACACTCAACTCTGTGTCATTGCCGTCAATAAAGTCTCAGATCCTGACGCTCTGATGGGCTCACTACCATTTAAGCTACTGTTAGCATCAGGAGTTACAGACCAGCCTGGCCAACATGGGGAAACCCTGTCTCTACTGAAATACAAAAATTAGCTGGGCATGGTGGTGAGCACTTGTAATCCCAGCTACTTGGGAGGCTGAGGTAAGAGAATCAATTGAACCCAGGAGGCAGAGGTTGCAGTGAGCTGAGATTGTACCATTGCACTCCAGCCTGGGCGACAGAGCAAGACTCCATCTCAAAAATAAATAAGTAAATAAAAAATAACTACTGTTGGCAATCACCATGCTAAGCATAAAGCAACTGGGTATTCATTTGTCAGAGTTCCGCCTCTAATTTCTAAGGCTGCCCAAGATGCTTCTTCCTATGGTCCTGGAGCCCAGATCAGTGAGTAGCAAGTAAACCGTCTAGATACTGGATGTGAGGGTGGCCAAGATTAAATTTCCCTTTTCTCTGCCTGCAAGATGTACTATGGTACGAGATTAATAAGATTATACCTCCACTCTGGAGCAAAGTGCCACCTTTAATCATTTTCAGCAGTATGCCACCTGACCCTCCACTCTTTAGGTTTATGAACAATAGGGAAAGATGACCAGGCAAGAAGACATCTATCCTCCTATATCAACAAGATGTCTTTTTCCAGAAGCCATTAAAGCAGGAGTTCTTAGTTGCCCTATATCAGGGATTAGCAAGTTACAGTCACAGGTCAAGTCTAGCCCACCATCTATTTTTATAAATAAAGTTTTATTGGAACACAGCCACACTTATAAGGTTACATATTGTCTAGGGCTGCTTTCTTACTTGAGTAGTAGAGTTGAGTAGTTTTAACAGAGATCTTACAGAGTGCAAAGTCTAAGATATTAACTATTTGACCCTTGGCAGGAAAAGTCTACTAACTTTTGCCCTATATCCTCCGTGACAAAATTTATATAATTAATAAAAGTCAATGTTTATCAAACTTTTCTAATGTGCAATGTGGCATTAAACACTATACATGAACTATATTATTAGATCTCCACAACTGCTCTAGAAAGTAGGTACTTTTGTTTTCCTCATTTTAAAAGTGAAGGACCCAAGGCTTAAAGAAGTAATAAGGTCTCAGAACTAAGAAGTGGCAAAGGCAGAATTCAAAGCCTGTCAGTCTGACTCCAGTGCTCTGTAACATATTAAACATATAAATGCTGGTAAACAGTAATGCCATTTACTAAGTGCTTACTATACACTAGCCTTTGCATATATTGTCTCTAAAGCTTCCCACTGCCTATGCTTGTATATCCAAAAGATCAGGCAACAGAGCACCCAAACTGGTGAAGTGATTTGTCCAAGATCAGACGGCAGACAGTAGAAAATCCTGTGTTCAAACTCAGACTCCATAGTGCTTTCATTATACATGCCATCTCACTGCAGAAAGATAGTATTTCAGAAATAACATAATAGACATTAGAAACTGTCATTTTTTTTTTAACTTCCCATTCTGTCTAGAAAAACTATAAGTTAACACGCCCAGGTTCTAGCCCTCACTTAATCATTAATGATCTTTGTGGCTCCTGGCAGGTCATTTAACCCCTTCTGACGTCAATATCGTGGTTGGCAAAGGAGTTCATTCAGATTGGCTGCTCTGTAAGATGTTCCAGCCTCCAATACGCTCCAAACCTTCAGTGCTGTCCCTCTGAGAATTACGTCGTCACTTTTGTGCTCTCACACTCTCTCTCCCTTCTCTCTCTTTTTTCGCTCCCTTTCTCATCGTGTGTGTGTGTGTGTGTGTGTGTTTTTTCCTGGTAATTACAAACAACTATCTGAATGATCCAGGGAAGTTTTTTATTTAAAACTCCTCACTCTCAAAGTGCTAGAATTATATAGGCGCGAGCCACTACACCCAGCTTCATCTGTGTAAATTTATTTCTATTACATATTTATTAAGAGATAGGGTCTGGCTATGTTGCCCAGGCTGGTCTCCTGGGCTCAAGCAATCCTCCCCTCTCAACCTCCAGAGTAGCTGGCACTGCCAGCATACACCACCACACCCAGCTTCTATCACGTCACTTTGAATGGCTGCATGATGTCCCACAATGATTATATACTACAGCTGATTAAAGTGTTCCTATAATCTTAGACATTTAAGTTGTATTCCTTTTCTACTATTAGAAACTATGTTGTGATTAAACATTCGTATATGTGCAATAAATAAATAAAATAAAACTCCTCATCTGAGATAATCTCTCATTATGGATCCTAATTGCCTTTCATTCAAGAGAGAGGTTAAAATCTCCTCCAATAGTACCTTATCATTACAGGATGGCTTATGAAAATAGCTGCTCCCTCTTAGAACACTAAGAGGCTTCCAGATACATGACTCTTACTGCTTCTTCATTCATTTCTGATTTGATGTATTTCATACTTTGTTATTTCTGATTTGATTAATTTCTTACTGCTTCTTCATTAATCTCTGATTTGATGTATTTCAGTTAATCTATTAAACAGCCAATAAGATCTAATTTCCTGAGACCCAGATGGGTTAAATGCAGTAAAATGTACATTTAAAATTATGTGATTTGATGGATGCCATTGTTTTTCTTTATTGTGAAATTTTAAATCACTAGCATCCACCTGGAAGATTAAGAAAGTAAGGCCTATTGCTGTTCCTGAAAGATAGAGCTTTCCCATCAGTGATAGACTGGATAAAGAAAATGTGGCACATGTATACCATGGAATATTATGCAGCCATTAAAAAGGATGAGTTCATATCCTTTGCTGGGACACAGATGAAGCTGGAAACTATCATTCTTAGCAAACTAACAGAGGAACAGAAATCCAAACTCCACATGTTCTCACTCGTAAGTAGGAGTTGAACAATGAGAACACAGGGAGGGGAACATCACACACCGGGGCCTGTCAGGAGGTGGAAGGACAAGAGGAGGGATAGCATTAGGAAAAATGCCTAACGTAGATGACAGGTTGATGGATGCAATAAACCACCATGGCACACATACACCTGAGTAACAAACCTGCATGTTCCACACATGTACCCCAGAATGTAAAGTATAATTAAAAAAAAAAGAGCTTTCCCGATGAGCTGTTTCATCTCTGTCTCATTTCCTAATCCTATTATCTTTTTCTATAAATTGTCAAACTTTAAGGACCATTGAATTCTCCTGATAGATGCCTTCAGGAGGTTAAAAACTGCCTCTCAAGCAAAGACTGAGTTCTACAAACTGCCTTTAGAGTTTCTCAAATGGTGGCCCTTTTCAGCCTAGGTCCCCTCACTTTAACTGATGGACAAAACTGATGTAAGAAAATACATCGATTGAGTTTTCTTCTTTCAGTGACTTGTTTAAAAAAAAAAAAAGAAAGAAAGAAAAAGAAAAAAAGGCCATCTTGCCAGTGATCCCTTTAAGCCTTTTTAATTGCAAAAAAATTTTTTATGGTGTTGCTGACCTAGCCTTAACAGAGTTCATTTCAGAAATGTGCTGAAGTGGGTACCAGTGCTGACAACTAAGGCTGAGAAATGTTTTAAGTATCACGACTCTACATTTTTCTCCTGTCTGTGAGGTTCAGGGATTCATCCTGTCTGAATCACGCCTGCCCTTTGTTTATGCATGAATAAGATATTCTAGACACTGAGGACACCACGCAGACACCAGCCCTTCCTGGAAAAATAAGACCTAGACCTCAAATCGGGGTGAATACACAGACTCCCCAGTGCCAACTAATTTCTAAATGTGAATAAAGATACATTGGTTAGCAAGCTTTGTCCAATTCTCCTATTGCCCCCTAACCTTTAGCAAGACAAAAATGTAACATATAATGGATCCTAAAATTAACGGCACATTTTGCTTTTCAGTTGATCAGATCAGCTGAGAATGGGGTCAGTCTCTTACCTCCCTGAGATAAGAGGTTGTCACCGTTTGAGTGCATTTATCTGCACCAGAGACATTAGGCCTCAGAAAATCTCTGACAACTTAGAAGCTCAGAATATAAATCAAGAATAAACCTGCAAAAACAAACCAGCTTCATTCCGTAACTCCTCATAGGGTCACACCTAAAGCATCCTCTTCCTGTATCATTCAGGAAAACCTCTTTGCCCACCAATTCGCTGGATAACCATTTATTGGGCACCTGGTATTTGCAAAACACTATTCTAGGCACTGGGGATCTTCTGGACACGAAAGTCAAAGTCCATACAGTAACAGAGCTTACATTCTAATAAAGGAGACAGGCTATCAACAAATATGAAAAATGTACGAGAATAATTAGTGCTATTTTAAAGACAAAACAGGATAATATAATACAAAAGGACTATACAACCTTGGGTAGTCAAGAAAGATTCTCTGAGGAGTTGACATTTAAGTTGAACCATGAATAAAAAGCATGGCACCCTGTGAAGATCTTGGGTAGGGGAAGGACAT